TATATATATATATTTCACAAAAAAAAAAAAGTCTTATGTCCAAACGGGCTCTTAGTAATGACGACCAAAATTCAAAATGTAAACTTCGAAAGGTGGCTTTTTTCAAGGGATGATTTTGGAGGGATAAGCAATGGAGTGAGTGATGAGGCAGGTCTGATTGTTAGAAGGCCGTTGTGAAATTGCGGAAAGTGTTGGAGGTAACCTCTGCACTTCTTCTGCGTCATGCATGTTTCTTTACTTTGCGTGGATGCATATGAAACACTCGCTGTTACGTTGATGCTTAGTTGTCCCAATCGGGAATCCAATGATTACAGTTCAACCCTATACATACGTTGTTTAGATCCCCTAGGTGATTCATCTTTTTTTTTTTTTTATTATTATTATTATTATTATTATTATTATTATTATTATTATTATATAATTTTGCTTCGGATTTATGTTATATACATATTGATAGCGTAAATAAATTTTTATTATATTTCGTGTAAATTAACTTCTCATATCATGTCGGTTAATTATCATTTTTACTTTGTTATGAATAGGGGTGTACAAAAGAAACCGACAAACCGCACCAATCCGATCCGAGTCAAACCGAGAAAAAAAATCCGACTGTGGGTTGGTTTGATTTGGTTTGGTGTTGTAAAAAAAAAATCCGACCAAAGTTTGATTTTAACTAAAGAAAGTCAACCCGAAACCAAACCAACCCGACATTACATATATAAAATTTTTAGATATATTTAATATATATACTTATTGTGATGTAATTTATAAATATTTCTTAAAAGCTTTCATAATTTTATTTTTTGAGGTATTATTTCAACGTTGGACTTAGAACTTTTGAATGTTCTAATAAGTTTTATAGCCATTAACATTAGAAAATTACATAGTGCTAACAAAAGCCCAAACCAAAATCAAATCAATACTAATGCTAACAAAAGACATTTAATTCAATATTACGAACGGGAATGTATTGAATATCTATTTTTTGTTTTGCAATAATTTAGATAAAAATGTATAACCTATTTTTGTTTTTTCTTTAGCGTTTAGTCATGTAGTTAATACTCCCTTATTAGTCTACTTATTTTAGCATGACTTAGTACTCTTAGATTATATTTATTTTTATTATGACTTTTTAATTAGCAATATTTATATTACATAATTTTATTGTCTTTATTGTTGAATATTTTAGGATAATGCCATGACATATCTCATATTTTGTATTATTTTCTTGGAAAATACTTTATATAGTTGTATCTTACTAGGAATAAAGAAATATTTTGAGCATAATTTATATATTTTGTTCTACGAAGATTTTACCCGAAAAAAAATCCGAAAAAACCCGAAGAATCCGAAAACCCGAGAAAAACCGAGAGTGAAAAACCCGAGTTTTATTGGTTTGGTTTGGTCCTTAGATTTAATAATCCGACACAATTGGTTTGATTTAGTAATTGTAAAATCCGAACCAACCCGACCTATGTACAACCCTAGTTATGAATTAATAATTATCATAAAGAGTTAGTTGTTATCTTATAAATGATCGAGTTGTATAAATGTAATATACCACTTGAACATTTGAAGGGTTGGACACACTTTTGCAATTGATTTTACTTTGTAAAACTTCCTAAAATCTTTCAGCTTTAATTTGTTCTGATTTTTGTTCAAGTATCAAGAAAATAGCCAGTTTAAGTTGTAACATGTAATTTGTCTTATTTTTCAAGATTAGAAATTCTATATTTTAAGAAGACTTACTTATAAATATCGTCCGGATGACAATAAAAATTTGTTTATACTCAGAGGCGGCTCAACACTGCATGTGGCCTAAAGCAAAAATTTAAAAAGAGGCTTCAAAAGACATTCGAGGTTAAGAAATGCTTTTTCATATCTAATCCTTTGATAATTTTATTAGCTTAAGATTGAAAAATTGTCTAAAAACACTTAAAGATTAGAAGAAGATTCTACAAAATCATAGTTATAAACAAAATTGATTCAAGTTGAAGTGAGTTAGACAAATTAAGAAGTTGAGCCCATCCACTATGTCTGAGGCAACAAAAAAGAATAATAAAA